GATAACAGCTCCTATAATTTCGCTGCTTGTTTCCAAGTCTGGTTTATTAAAGGACCTGGGATAGATGAAACAAGAGGAGCCTGAAAACGTGGTTGTTCCAGTGTGCCTTCCCAGAATAAGGAACCCTAAGCAACATGTCCCTAATCGCACTTTACTAATGATCTAGGATTGTCTGCTTGCTCAATTTCTCTCCAAATACCCATCCTAGTTATATGTCACCTTATCATGCCCAGTATTTTAAAATTTTAATTATTATATTTGGCCCTGCCATAGGTTTTTAATGCGTCGTGGTGTTGCTGTTATTGTTTATTGCTTTGTTTATGAGTTATTTATTGCCTGTATTGCTGTGTTGTTTTTATTGATGTATTTGGGCTCAGCCTCTTGTAAGCCGCACCAAGTCCTCTGGGAGATGATAGGGAAGTATAAATAAAGGTTTATTATTATTATTATAATGGAAACCAGGTGTTGTCCATCATTCATCTTCCTTAAATGATAAGACATGGCCCTGCTGCCACAGGTTCCCACTGAACTAGGGGGGAGCATTGCCAAAATGGTGGCAGCACCTGTCTTCAAGAGCCCATTTGCACTTCTTACTGTGTGCATTATTCTTTGTTTCTTCTCATTGTATTACAAGACCCCAGGGTCCTTGTTTTAAACTTATACCAGACCTACATCACTCATGATCCACCAAGTGAGGTATGTTCTGTGGTTGTAGCAAGTTCAGAGATTGGCAACAAGGATGATCAGAGGTATGGAGAACATAACATATGAGGAGAGATTGAAGGCATGTTCGGTTTGATGGAGACAAGACTTTTGGGGGTGACATGCTTACCCTCTTTAAATATCTCAAGGGCTACCACAAAGAGACATGTCTGTTCTTTGTTGCCCCAGAAGACAGGACCAGGTCTAATGGTTTGAAGCTACAGGAGAGTAGGTTTTGACTGAACATTCTTCTTGATGGTGAGAATAGTTTGGAGATGAAACCAATTGCCTTGCAAGGTATTAGAGCCTTATTCTTGGATATCTTCAGAAAGAGGCAGGATAAGAACCTGCTGGAGATTCTGCATTGAACAGAAAGTTTAACTGATGGTCCATAGGGCCCATCCAACTATATGATTCTCCTAACCACCTAACCACCCCCTGCCACGTGTAGCTGTAGCCCAGTCTATGTATATGTGTTTTGTGTGTGTATATGTGTACATATCTGTGTTTGCGTATATATATATATATATGTGGTTTTGCGCATGCGTTGTAATGTATTATTTATTTTTTAGCTTTTAAAGTATCTTCTGCTGTGTTTTTCAGTGTTTTTATGAGTGATGGTCACTTGTTGACCTGATAGGTGTATTGTGTCCAAATCTGGTGTCCATTCGTCTAGTGCAGTGGTTCTCAACCTGGGGTCCCCAGATGTTTTTGGCCTACAACTCCCAGAAATCCCAGCTAGTTTACCAGCTGATTGGATTTCTGGGAGTTGTAGGCCAAAAACATCTAGGGACCCCAGGTTGAGAACCACTGGTCTGACCAAGTATATTTCTCCAGAAACTTTGACCAAAAGAGACTCTTGTGATCTGCAACTCAAACAAGACAAAGGCAGTGCACCAACAGGTGTGGCCTTTCAGATGTTTTTGTAAACTACAACTTTCATAATCTCTCACTACTAGTTATGCTAGCTAGGGCCAATGAGAAGGAAATTGAAGGGGCAAGCAGTCCATATTCTTGTTTTATAACATCTCAGTAGACCACTTTTCTACCGCCGCATGAATTTTGCTTTGCCAGGCATAATGTGATGTTGCCATTGAGTCAAGCTTCAGCTATAAGAGTTGTAACCTCAATTGGTTTACAGAAAAGAATAGCAAAAAACCTTCCCTTGCAGACTTCATAGCAACAGTATCCCGTTGCTTTTGAAGTGATTGCATTTCACTGAAGAATGACACTGAATCTTGAAAAAGTATGAATTGCTAGATCTGTCAGGAGAGGCCAGCTGTGCACCGCATACCTTCGAATCATTTTGGTTCTTGCCAGACTTAGGGATATATATTATATATCCTGTTAATGAATATAAGACAGACAGACACACGCATTGCCCCCTATGTGGTTGCTGAAAATCTGGATTTCTCTATTTCTCAAACCAAACGTTAAAGGAGCTAATAAAAATGTACGACTTAGTTTTGAAATAGGATTCAGGACCTTGGGTAGCAACTTTGGACTTCAGGCAAACACCTGAATGTAATGCTTCCCTGATGTGGAAGTCACTAGGTGATGCTGCATTTATGCACATGCAAACACATGCAGTGCAATATATGCAAAGACTAAACTGATGCTATTATCATACTAATGGTTATATAGAAGAGAGATTTACAACTGCTGTTGCTTGTTTAACAAGAAAGTCTTGCTATCATTATTGTTTAAAATAGTAACTTTGTTTAGGCTACTAGTTTTACAGGGTGTGTGTGTTAGAGAAATAAAAAACTAGTAGTTATTTGCAAGGCAATATACTATATTGTAATAAGCAAAGGTTCTTCTTTGATGAGGACCCAAGTTCAGCAAAAGAGTTCCTTCTTGAAATACATTTCCTTGCATTGCCAGGACTCCTGTCTCTAATCTTTCCAGAGAGGAACAACTAGTTATAAAAAACCAGCCTGATTTTGTTTGATTGTGCTTCTCATCAATCCTAGACAGAATAATCCACGCAGAGTGATGATAGTTGTAGTCCAACCACATTTTCAAGGTCATGCTCCCCCATTTCTGGTGTCTACAATGTTGGGTTTAAGCTCCACAGCTTTATCCGAAGCCACAGTATATTTGATCCAGCTTTCTCACAGGACAGTAAAAAAACCCCAAGGTTTCAGGTAGGAGTCTTTCTCAGCCCTTCTAAACTCCCTTCTACACCGTCATATAAAATCCAGATTATCTGCTCTTTTTTTTGTCGTGTCATGAGCGACTTGAGAAACTGCAAGTCGCTTCTGGTGTGAGAGAATTGGCCGTCTGCAAGGATGTTGCCCAGGGGACGCCCAGATGATTTGATGTTTTTATCATCCTTGTGGGAGGCTTCTCTCATGTCCCTGCATGAGGAGCTGGAGCTGATAGAGGGAGCTCATCCGCCTCTTCCCGGATTCGAACCTGCGACCTGTTGGTCTTCAGTCCTGCTGGCACAGGGGTTTAACCCACTGTGCCACTGGGGGATCCTTGATTATCTGCTTTGAACTGGATTATATTGCAGTGTAGACTCATATAATCTAGTTCAAAGCAGATAATCATTATCTGCTTTGATAATCTGAATTATGTGACAGTGTCGAAGGTTCCTAAGGGAGACTGGAATTGAACTGAAGCGCATCCAGTATTATTGAACTACAACTTTCCCCCTAGAACACATCTGAGCAATATTCATCTCAGCACATGCTGGTGGACTGCAGCTCCCATCATCCAGGCTACTACCCATATTGCCTGGAGCAGATGGGAGGTAAAGCCCAACAACTTCTGGGGAACTGCAGGATGTTCCATCCTACCCGAAATAGAACAATGAGATGACATTGTGATCTGACACACCACAGAGCAGCTTCCTGTGCGATATAAATCTGTTGAAATACACACACATACACACGTACTGACAACTGATACTTACTGGTGCAACTGTAGACTAATTTCTGTGCTGATTATCCTATGCTTCTCCAGAGAGAAGGCTGTCAAATCTTAACTGAAAATAGGGTGGGATTTTTTTTAGGGCTGCTGATGTTTTTATAGCTGTTTTTATATGTATATTCAATATATTACCAAGCTCCTGTTGATAACAAAATCCACGGATGCTGAAGTCCCATATACAGTAGTGTAGTAAATTGATATCCCTATGTAAAGTGACAAAATCAACTTTTACTACTTAGAACCTTTTTTTAAATTCAATCTGTGGATGTTGGAATCCGTGGATGCAGAATCCCTGCGTATGGAGAGCTAACTAATCTGAAATTACTACCATGTTGGCCCACTTCTTGTATAGACACATCAGAGAAGACCATGACAAAAATAACTAACATAGAGAAATGAAGAGGAGCAGCAGGTGGAAACTCAAGAGAATATCATTAGCTCCTGAGACAGTGTAGAGCTTAAATATGTAAATTTCATATAACCAAATCACCTTCAGAAAAGAAAATGAGTATTTGATTGGAGTGTGTTAAGAAGCTTTGAAGGACATCAACAGGGAAGATGAATGAAAGTCACTGTATTGCGACATCTTTCTAATATTCAGAATCCTTTGCTTGCCTACCTTAGTTTGTACACTAAAGTCTAGAGTACCAGCTAAGTATGTACTCTAAACATCGATTGCCACTTAGAAACTTGCCTGCGAGAATTCAAGTTACATGCTGAACACGCCTTTGCTTTTGAAGTTGCTGAAGAAGGTATTTATGCAAGGAGTCTTAGGTCATTAAGTTCAAAGCGAGGAAGATGCATAACTTTAGGGGTCACCAAAATACCTAGATTTCTTGGCAGTAGAACTTCAACACCACTGTAAACATTTCTTGACATATATTTGTAATGATTTAAGTATTCACTTGATTTATTTGTTTTAATCACAGTGTGATAGACTATAGTAAACATCAAAATACCTTAAGTAATTAGGCAATCCACTGACTTAGGAGAATTACAGACTTTTGTGAAACTGGACAACTTGTTCAACTTTTAATTTGGAAACAATTGTGGGCTTGTTCCGTAGTGTTCAGGGTCCCATTCACTGGGGTAAAGTCGGATTTGCCCAATCCCTTCATGAGCCGGAAATGAGAAAAGCACAAAGTAATTTGTCTTGTACCAAAATGAACTGTGTCAAATGTGAATGTCAGGTAATGTTTCAGCACATTCCCCAGGCACCCACAAAGTGTCTCATTTTCCCCTTTTGAGTATACAAAGAACATTGATTGCACAGGTGTTGACTTCTTTACAGCATAACCGATACTTGGTTTGTGGGTTTTCTTTTTAAATAACTTTTTTGTTTTGTTTTTGTTCCATTGCAGGGCTGCCAAAATGACTGTGCAGCTGGATGTATGGGGGCAGCCGCAAAACACGTGACCGAGTCTTTCAAGGTATGTTATTTGCAAAAACAGAAGTGCTTGAAGCTGTTCTCCACTAGACAGAGAGAAAAGGGTGTGCTTAAGTTACAAAAAAAATCAGTTTGTAGTGTCATGAACACTGCAAGATTGCAGGGAAAGGGTGAAGTTAAAGGGTAAAATTGTGCTTTAGAAAGCTGGCTATCATTCAGCCAGAATTCTGGATCAATTCCTAGAAGTTGCTTAAAGATAAATGGGAAAGTTAACCTTCCTTCTTTTTCAGGCCTAGACAGTTTATAAACCACATCTCCATATACCAGTGGTTCCCAGCCTTTTTTTGACCAGGGACCACTTGAACAGGGTCCACTTTGACCCGGGACCACACTGCAACATCAGTACCAAAAGGGTTATGAATCAGTTTTTGGTCAACTTTAGATTCGGTTTGGTTATTTGGGGTGCTGAATCGGAAAATTGCATTGGATAGACCACATCAGCTCTAGTTTCTGATACAGTACATATGCCATCCAGTAGTCACTATCTGCTTGCCCACAGAAAACCATATTTAATAATCTAGAGCTGATGTGGTCTATCCAATGCAATTTTCGGAATCAGCACCCCAAATAACCCCAGGAACAGGCCTAAAAACGAAGACAACAAGGTGCCCCCGCTTCCAGGGGTCACATGGAACGGCTCCGCTTAGGGAGAGGGAGGAGGAGAAGCAGCAGTCAAGAGGCTTGTCGTTGTGCCTTTCCTTTCCCCTCCTGGCATCTCCATTGCCTCGGCACCAGTTGCTCACCTTGCAACGGTGTAGTAATGGTGAGGCCATGGACTATATTTTAGGTCTTGGGGACCACTGGTGGTCCATGGACTATAGGTTGGGAACCGTAGCTGTATACAAACCAGCATGAGCACTGTTGTCTGCGAAGGAGGCCTTTCTCTCAGTCCCATCCCCGTCTCAAGCACGGTTGGTGGTGCGTTCTCAGTGATCACTCCCCACCTCTGGAACTCCCTCTCTAAAGAACTAAAAATGGCCCCTTCTCCTTTAAAAAGATTTTTAAAAACTTACTTATAAACCTTAGCTTCTGGAGGAGAGGAGGACTAGTTCATCTCCATATATATCCTTGCCTTGATATTGGACACCTACCACAACCCATTGGATGCTGTAAACTATCTGAGCTTTCACTGCCTTTTTAGTCTCATTTTTAAGAGTATCATGTGATGCGTTATGTTATGTTTATTTGAGTTTAATTTTCAATTATTTTTCGGTTAGTTGTATCATTTTATATAGAGATTGTTTTATCCACTGTTTTGATTTGTTATTTGTTTGTATTTGGCATTGAATGTTTGCCACTTCGTTACTTTGCTGGAAACTTCCCTGAGTCCTCTCAGGGAGATAGGTCGGGTTATAAATAAAGTATTATTATTATTATTCATAGAATCATAGAATCAAAGAGTTGGATGGGCCATCCAGTCCAACCCCCTGCCAAGAAGCAGGAATATTGCATTCAAATCACCCCTGACAGATGGCCATCCAGCCTCTGTTTAAAAGCTTCCAAAGAAGGAGCCTCCACCACACTCCGGGGCAGAGAGTTCCACTGCTGAATGGCTCTCACAGTCAGGAATTTCTTCCTCATGTTCAGATGGAATCTCCTCTCTTGTAGTTTGAAGCCATTGTTCCGCGTCCTAGTCTCCAGGGAAGCAGAAAACAAGCTTGCTCCCTCCTCCTCCCTGTGGCTTCCTCTCACATATTTATACATGGCTATCATATCTCCTCTCAGCCTTCTCTTCTTCAGGCTAAACATGCCCAGCTCCTTAAGCCGCTCCTCATAGGCTTGTTCTCCAGACCTTTTATCATTTTAGTCGCCCTCCTCTGGACACATTCCAGCTTGTCAATATCTCTCTTGAATTGTGGTGCCCAGAATTGGACACAATATTCCACGTGTGGTCTAACCAAAGCAGAATAGAGGGGTAGCATGACTTCCCTAGATCTAGACACTATGCTCCTATTGATGCAGGCCAAAATCCCATTGGCTTTTTTTGCCGCCACATCACATTGTTGGCTCATGTTTAACTTGTCCACGAGGACTCCAAGATCTTTTTCACACGTACTGCTCTCGAGCCAGGCATCCCCCATTCTGTATCTTTGCATTTCGTTTTTCGTATTATTATTATTATTTAAAAACCTTGAAGGCTCTTTCAATTTGTGTTGCAAGTCTTTCAGGTGCATTTGCATTTAGAAGTAATACAATTCGATGCAGCTTTTCTTCCATGGCTCAATCCCGTGGAATCCTATTTATTAACTGTGACTTGATATAGTAGTCGTCGGTTCCTATTTCCTTTAAATTTAGCTGCAGTTGTCAGAATAGGATAAAGGGAAAACAGATTTCCTCCCACCAGTATGTCATTGTGAGCTATCCCTGATGTAATGCAAGGCAAAGTTTCCGGGAAGTTTTTACTCAAATTTAATAGAAACAAATTTGAGTGTTGAGCTATGACTCTGGAGAGCAGGGTTCGAGCCCCCACTCTGCCATGAAACCCACTGGATGGCCTTTTGCAAGTCATCTCAACCTTAAAGGAAGGCAGCAGCAATCTTTTGAATGAACCTTGCAAAGAAAATCCTGTGATAGGTTTGCCTTAAAAGTCACTCTAATGACTTGGAAATGACTTGAAGGCACATAACAACAAAAATATGCATTTGTGAAGGGAAACAACTAGTCAAGTGAATCTTGAATAAGTAAGCAAAAACCTTCAAGAGGCCTCTTAAAGGCTTCTAATAAAATGCATTCAGTGGTGACTTTTTCTTTTATCAGCATCCTCCTTTGCTTGATTTTCTTTTTGGTGGCTATACTTACAGAACTATATATTTTTTGCAGTTTGCTGAGACAGGCTTATCTTCTCTTTCCTTTTCTCCCTGCCTTTCTGCTCATGCACACTCAGAAGGGGATTCTCGGGGGGGAAGGTGCTGTTTACTTTGTTGTAGTCAGAAATACTTAGTGTTAAACCATGCTCTTTCCCAGTTCATCTTTTGTTTATTGCAGATACACTGTCATATCAAAAGCATTGCATAAATTAGTATAAAACCTATAAAATAGAATGAGTGCAGGTGGCTAAATATCTTTTGACCAAAAACGGGCAACAGCAATGGCATTGTCTGTAGCTTCCAACAATTCTTCCTCTGTACATGAGGCAGGGCATAGTGGACAAGCATACAGATGCGGAGTTGTCTGTTGTGCTCCACAGTCACACAAGGTGTGGGATCCTTTTAGGTAGTGCCATTTTGCCAGGTTGTCTTTTGATCTGCCCACTCCGCTTCTGAGTCTGTTCACGGACTTCCAAGTTGCCCATTCTTGGTTTGCCCCTGGAGGAAGACCCTTGTGGGGGGGGGGCATTCAGTTGGGGTTTCCTGGTTTAGCTGCCCAGAGGGATACCCTTGCTGTTGCTGGGGGGACGCCAAGAGGAGTGGTAGTTCTCATAAAGCTTTTCCTTGATTTGAGTCTGCTGGGAGGAGGCTGGTAGCCATGTAGTGGGTGGCTTTCACAGGATTCAACCTTATTTCTCTCACATTTAGCAGCAACTTCCCATTGCACATCAGGGGAGGCAATGCCAGCTAGCTTGTAGAATTCATCAACAGGTTTAGGTTAAGACATCCTGTGATTATTCTGCATATTTCATCCAATGCTATGTTCACCTGCTTTGCATGGGCAGACCTATGCCAAACAGGGCAGGCATACTCGGCAGTTGAGTAAGACAAGGCTTCCTAATGTTAATGCTAGACAGAATATGAGGTGGAAACAGAGGGCTGTGTGTGCATAGAAAGCCTTTGTAGAAAAAGAGGTTCTCTATCAGAGGCTCTGTTAACAGAGGTATGCTTGCAATATTGAGTTAGGCTCCAGTTTTGATGTTGATTGATGATTAAGCAGTATACAGAAATCTATCTTATCTATCATCATCAACCAACAATCACAAATTGTCTCCATATCACCTGATAAATATGTGGCAATGTAGTTCTTGTACCTCTCATCACAGTAATGTTCTTTTGTACATTACAGAAATCCATCCCTATTAATTCCTAGTTATTTCTGTTAAAGTAGTATCCTATATACTCATGTATAAGTCTAGAAGTTTTCATCAAAAAGCATCCTCAAAAACCTGGGTCATCTTATCCATGGGTCAATGTGAGTTAACCCATATTTAAAAGGGAATCATACCCATCTCTGACGGTGGTTCCAGACAGCACCAAATTGCACACTTTAGTCAGAGGCAAAAAATCCCGGGACCTCAAAACATGTCCAGATACAGACCTGTTGGTCCCATGATTTCTGCCTCCATTGTCCACACTTGCTGCTTTGTCGTGGGATTTTGCAGCCCCCGAGATGGCTGCCACTGGACTTCTGCCAAAAAATAGGCTTTAAAAAGAAAACAAACAAATTTAAGATGCAGACATGTAAAGATATGAATCATTGTATAAGTTCCATTCCTGGGTTATATAGGCTGCAGGGCCATCTGGGCAGACAGGGTGTTGTTCCTGTATTATCCCTGTCTATTCCTGATGTCTCTTATTGTGAAAAGATGTACAACGTTGACTAGGGGGCCACAGCTTTGTCCAGGCCAGAGAAAATGTGCCCTCCACACGTTTCACGAAGTTTCTGGCACACAAACAAAGTTTTTGCCTTCTTCTCAACTGTCACCTTCTTTTTAGAAACCAACCAAACAGGAACAAACATCTAAAACTCAGGAAAACTCAGATTTTTTAAAAAATCCCATGATTTTCAGGTGCAGGGACATATAGACATTCGAAGATGCAGATTTTTGGCTCAGAACTGGAATATTCCCACACTTGAAAATCTCATGGTTTTTTTTGCTGTTCATTACAATTGGTTCCGTGTTTACAGGAAATTGCATTTGGTCACCCTCCTGTTTGCTGTGGGAGCTCCTGGGATAAAGGTACTGTCTGGACGAGCCACGAGTAAACTGATGAGAGGCTATCATTTAGTCCATAACAGGAAAACATAAAAGAAGCACCAACCCTCTCTATT